GTTTTTAACAAAGTTTACAAACTCCCTGTGGGATATGGGCAGTTTTATGAATACTAAATACTAACAGAATAATAATTTTATTATTTAGGGGAGTGAAGTATTAGTTTAATGAAGCTGTAATGAAAAATTTGAAGCATCTGTCAAAGCAATAATAAATTCTCCTTATCCCACAGCCCCAACAGTTTTCTGTTGTGCTTGAAACTTGACTTTTTTTCACTTCATAATTATTTTAAAAAATATAGAAATATAATCACAACAAATAATGTGATCATTTGTTGATAATCACATTATCCCACACATGATTTCAACTATTTAGCAAGATTATTTTCTCTGTAGGTAGTCTCTTTCTGATCTACTGTAAATAAACTGCATTTTTATTATTTTAAAGAATGATCAACAGATATGGTTGATGTACCCAGAATTATAAATCAGAACACCAGACCTCCATTAGAAAAACATCACAACTATAAATGATTTTTTTAAGTCATGCAAATTTTGTGAATTATGCTTCTGCTATTTTGTGTTGTCTGCTATATTCTTATTTTAAAATATGTTGGAGTCAATTATACATGTAAGGCCCTCCCGTTGATCATTGATTTGCTCGAGCAGGCCCAGTAACGTCTCCATTGGAGACTTTGTTGTTACTGCGTCTGGCATATCGAATACTCTTGGTAGCTTGCCGGGCTCTCCGAGAGGGGCGGAGGAATCGAACTCGGGTCGGCCATGTTGGCTGCGTGCAAGGCAGACGCCCTACCCGCTGTGCTACATGATAAATACTAAAAAAATAGACAAATTAAAATTATAAAAATGACTAACAGAATAAAAAAATAATTTATGTTGAAAGCTACAGGAGAGATGTTTTATGTAGAAAATAACTAACAAGGCAAGGGATGTGGCTCACTGGTAAAGCACATGCTTTCACCTGGGTTTGATCCCTGGCAACAAAAAGCAACAATCATAACAATATTTGATTGAACATTATCACTATGGCAACAAAAGTCCAAAGAAATTTTAAATTTTAACAGAAAAGATTCTACCTGGACAAGATGGGGGAACAGAATAAATTAAATAAATACAGGGGAACTAGGGAAGAGAGCAGGGCCTTCTCATCTTTCTGGAGACTGTATTTTAGTGAAGAGATTTAAAAAACAAACAAGGGGCTGGAGTGATAGTACAGTGAATAGGATGTTTGCCTTGCATGCGGCCAACCCAGGTTCAATCCCCGACATCCCATATGGTCCCCTGAGCACTGCAAGGAGTGATTCCTGAGAGCAGAGCTGGAAGTAACCCCTGAGCATCTCTAGGTTTGACCCAGAAAGACCAAAAAAAAAAAAAAAACCCATGCTGAACTTGAATAGTTAAAAGAAAAAAAGAGGCAGAAAAGATTGACTCTCAAAATTCATTATAAATTTATGACTCTTCAATTGTTGCAGCTAATATTTAAATTAATAGTTTGCAAAACCTGACATTTGTAAATAATACATAATCTCTGTTGGAGGTACTTCCTTAATAGTGAAACTCAAAAAACTTGTTCTCAAAATATAACCTAGAACTGGATATGATTTCTAAAAACTCTCAATTTTAACTGCTATGAAAAGAGAAGTCCTTAAGATTTTAGAATTTAAAAAGAAGATATAGGAAATTTCTAGAGAACTGAAAATAGTTTTGCAAAACACAAAGAAAAGCAAACAAGAAAAACAAAGCTACCTAAAACCACTGCCTCTGAGTAACTCTAAGACAGAAAATGGCCAAGCTTCAAAGCATCTAAATGTAAAAAGATTCAAAATCCCAACAAGTGCCCTCTCGTGACTAGAAGTCATGTTTTCCCCTCCTCTGTTGCTTCTGATCAGGGGCCAAAGACAAAGGCCGGGCTGCGGCACCTGCACTTTAAGGTCGAGGTGCTTGCTGAAAGTTGCACACTGATGGTGGAGCTCACACAAACAGCTACGGCTCTTGTCAGGGCCACACACATGCTTACTGGCCATTGTGCTTCTGGTCACTGAACTTACAAATGTTTTCAGTCCCAGTGTCCGTGGGGCTGCAACCATTTCTGTGGTACTAGTAGCCATCTGCCTTCAGTGGAGCAAGAAAGTACACTCTATGATACACCGCAAGTCCCCAACAGTAGAGCTGATGGGACCATATTCAACTCATGCCACAGCACCAGAGATAAGAACCTACAGCCTCCCATTTGTCAAGGCAGGTGGTTAAACCACTGAGTCATTCCTGGGACCCATGCCTGTAAGTTTTTATTGAGATCATGGTCTCACTTCATGGTGATGAATGTAATTCATCCATTAAAGTGAAAAGATCTCCAGCTTGGAGATAAAACAAGACCCAACTATAATATATATATATATATATATATATATATATATATATATATATAATCTTTTAAAAAGCAACATGAGGAGTTAGAGCGATAGCACTACAGGTAGGGCGTTTGCCTTACATGCAGCCAATCCAGGTTTGATTTCCAGCATCCCATATGGTCCCTTCAGCACTGCCAGGTGTAATTCCTGAGTGCATGAGCCAGGAGTAATCCCTGTGCATCGCAGGGTGTGACCCAAAAAGAAAAAAAAAAGCAAAATGAGGACAGGAAGATTATCACAACAGGCTGAGCGCATGCTTTGTATGCATGAGGTCTGGACGAGAGCTTCTGCACTGGACAGGTCACTGGAGTCCAGAGTTGGGAGTAGCCTCTGAACACTGCTGAGTATGGTCCCAAACCAAAACAGATAACCCCAAATGATTGAGAAAGACTAAAAATCGGAACAAGGTCTACTAGAAAAATGGGGAAAAAATAAAAACAGAAGTAATAAGAATGTGGAATAAGAAAAAAAACATAATAAAAAATGCACTTCTCAATTCTAAAAGTTGCAAATCAAAAAGATACATGTTATAATGACCTATATACTAAAATACAGAATATTTACCTTTAGAGAGCAAAAAAACTAAGAAAGTCATTTTCAGAAACACAATCAAACTTTCTCATGCTTTGCAGAAGATAAATCAACAAAAAATAAGTACCCAGAAGACCTAAAGTAGATTTTATAAATGTCTATATCAAACTTTAGGCAGAGTCTCCTGCCCCTGCGCCTGGCTGTCCTCACCAGGTTCCCTTGGAGGGAGCGGGTTGAGTTTCCCTCCCCGCCCGGAGCAGAGCCCCAGCAGCCGAAGAACCAGCCACAGTCATGCTGAGACCACTCTTCACACGTCAGGATAAGCCTCATGGATGAAGGAACCGGCAGAAGAACCCAGGCATGCAGATCTCGGGGCTGAGATCTCCAAGTCTGCTCGGATCGGGACTGGGCCTTCTCCACCCAGATCCCCCATCTTCCAGTAGGTAGGCACCACACCCACCAGCTGCCGCCAGTGCCAGGTATTCCCATCAACGGCCAAGACCCAGAGACTATAAAACCTAGCTCCCGGAAGCACACAGCTGCAAATGCTGCCGCGCAACATCTCATTATCTTGTTCTTACTTTGGAGAACCCAGCAGGCTACCGAAAGTATCCTGCCTGCAAGGCAGAGTCTGGCAAACTTCCCGTGTCCTACTTACTATGCCAAATACCAGTAACAATGATGGGTCTCATTCTCCTAAACCTGAAAGAGCACTGAATATGGCTCTTTTAAAATCTCAGGGCTAGGAAGAAGGAGATGTTACCTCCTTCTGCTTGAGGCAATCAAAGAACAACATGATGATCGTGATCAAACTTTATTCTCTCCTCCCCTTCTCTTCTCTCTCTCTCTCTCTCTCTCTCTCTCTCTCTCTCTCTCTCTCTCTCTCTCTCTTTATATCTCTCTCTCTTCCCCTATTTAATTTAAAGACATGGACTTTAAAAAGGTGATTAAGATGGAATGAATTTATATGGGTGGTACTTAGTCCAGTATGACTCTCTTAGAAGCTGTCCTTGTAAGAGAGAGAGGTGCCAGGGATATCTGAGCACAGAAAAAAGGAAATGTGAGGACACACTAAGATAGTAACCACGAAAGAGTCGAGGAAGAAACCAAATCTGCCAAAACCTCGGTATTGAGCCAGCTGGATCTCAAAACACCTAGAACACAGAACAACAGAGTTGCAAAATTTTCTGTTTAAATCATCTCGTTTATACTATTTTACTATGACAACCTTTTGTCATAGGTGAGAAAGCTATCATTCTCACCTTAATTTAAATAAATATATACATATCAACAAATAACTTTCTTGGATGGAAAGCACAAATATTTAAAGAAAAGCTCTTCAGCAAAACTCCAATTAACAAATAAAATAATGGTGGAAATAAGAAAATACTTTTTTTCAGGTAAGGACTATAAAAGAATGTTAAAATTATTGAAAAAATGCTTGATGCAAATATTTCAAAGCTTCAAAGTCTCTCTCCCCCATAAGATAGTATATTACAAAGAGGAAAAAACAAATTAATTTACAGTAGAACAATCTGACTAGTACCACCTTAATCAAATAATCATGTTAACATCACCAAAAAAAAAAAAATAAAGACAAAACCATAGCTCCTGAGATAATGTAGTGAGAACATAGGACTTAGATGTTACATTTGCTAAAAATGTCAAGCCTATATTTAATCTTAAAGAATGCAAGATAAATTCAAATTAAATTTATTTCAAATTAAAAGAGTAATCTATAAAACAACTGACCAGCATTCTTCAAAAGGGTAACTATATTTAGGATTAAGGAGACTATAAAGGCAATGTATATTATTCTAGATTGGGTCTTAGCCCAGGAAACTACAATAGTGGGATGACTGATAGCATCTGAATAAAATACATAGGTCTAACAGCAGTGAGTATAATTCACTTCCTGGAATATTAATGTTAATTTCTTTGTTTGGATTGCTGCAGTACACTTACGTAAGATATTAACATTGAGTGTTCTTGGTGAAGATAATATGAAAATTCTCCATCCTACTTTTACAATGTCTGATTAGCTCTGAAATCATTTAAAAATAAAAAACTCAAAATACACATGCACACATGTATAACCTAATATTCTGAAGCTCTCTTCGGGCCGCCTCTTCTGCCATCTGTGAGGCCCGCAACTTCTCTTCGCACTGATCCTTTTCAGACTGCCTCCAGACGTCATGATCCACTTTCACTTTCTCTAAATCCGATAATCTGCTCTCAAGTTCTAGCCTAAAACAACAATGACAATTATACTACAAAAACTACCACAGGATGATATGACAGCAAAATGTTTTTATCTGCAAGGAGATTAAAATAAGGTAATTAAGTACTTACTTTTCATCCTGTAATACTACAAGTTTCTGATAACCTTCTTCTTTGGCAGCTTGTACTTTACGTACTAATTCACGATCCTTTTCCGCTAAGAGCATTTTGTGGTGTTCAACAGCTGACTTAAGAATTTCATTGTCTGACTGTAATCCTGGTATTTTTTTTAGAAGAAAAATATTACTCAGTGGCATTAAAATAAAAAATCATAATTGACATCAAGCATTCAAAGCCAAGTAAGACAAAAACTGTAGACAGTCTCTCTTTGACAGCATACTCTCAAAGATCTTTGCATTACTGATAAATTTTTCTTAAGAAACTAATGCTGAATTATAATTTTGTTATTTTATTTAGCATATATGTTCAAAAATATATTTTAGTAACAGATTATGTTCTTTTGCTCACTTAAATCTTAAAAGCTGAAACTATCAACCTGATGATATCCAAAGATGTTTAAATATTTAAACTCTTAGAATTCTTTCTTCTAAGTCCCACAGACAACATCATAATGAAACTGGCTGGAAGCAGAGTGAATAAATCACACAATGCTTCAAAACCTATTCTTCCAAAATAGCTAGACTTCCAGCAGATATATAAATTTGAAACTTTCAAATTTTTTCCAGATAATTCATAAATTTCCTTCTAATAAGATGACAACCCCAGAGGTGCGTGAAGGCCACTAATGCTCAGCTCCCTAGTGGTTGGCCATTCAATGTTAAGGGGCCACCAATGATACTCCCATGCTGTGCAGGGGTGACAGTACTAGGATTGAGGGGAAGGAGCAAGCAGTGTCAGAGATCAAACTCAGGACCTCCTACATGTTAGGAATTGAGCTCTAAATTTGAACTATCTCCCTAACCAGGGATGACAAATAACCAGTTTTTTTTTTTTGGGGGGGGGAAGATAAAATAAAACAAATTCAAACCTAAATCAATTTAAAAATATTGCAGAGGGGACTGGAGCAAGAGCACAGTGGGTATGGCGTTTGCCTTGCACGTGGCCGACCCAGGTTCGATTCCCAGCATCCCATATAGTCTCCCAAGCACCACCAGGAGTAATTCCTGAGTGAAGAGCCAGGAGTAACCCCTGTGCATTGCCGAGTGTGACCCAAAAAGCAAAAAAAAAAAAAAAAAAAAAAAAAAAAAAATTAAAAAAAAATATTGCAGAGCTGGATCCCATAATCTATGTTCCAAAGGAAATTTACCTCCTAAATCTACAGAAACATGAGTCAACCTCAAATAGAAAGTTAATTATGAAAAAAAATCATTCATTATAAAAACTTGTCTAAAACTATAGAATTCAGAACCTCTGCTCGATGTCACACCCTAGCAGGTGAGATTAATCTCCATACTCCACATCCAACTTCCACACGTCCTGAACCTCTGCTCCTTTGTTCGCCACCACATCCCTACTAGCACAGGAGCACCAAACACATAAAAGTCACTGAGTTCAGTGAGCAACAACTATAACATAGAAGGTTCAACCAGCACCAAACATCTCAGTAAATCCCCAATGACTTTAGTAACTGTGAGAATATTTAATGAGCTCAAAGAAATACGGCACAGGCAGTCACCAAAGGATAAGAAAGTATGAGAACCAAGATGAGAAAACTACAAGCAGAAAAGAAGAATGTGGTAGGTGACATAACCACTCAATAGAGGAGCTGGAGAGATAGTACAGAGGGTAAGGTCTTTGACTCGCAGGTGTTTTACCCAGGTTTGATCCCCAGAATCCCAGTGATACCCTGAACACCAACAAGAGTAATTCCTAGGGGCCAGAGTGATAGTACAGCGGGTAGGGAATCTGCCTTGCACGCAGCCGACCTGGATTCGATCCCTGGCATCCCACATGGTCCCCCAGCACCACCAGGAGTGATTTCTGAGTGCAGAGTCAGGAGTAACCCCTGAGCATTGCTGGATGTGATCCAAAAAGCCAAAAAAAAAAAGAAAAGAAAAGTTAAGTCTTAAGTGCAAAGTCAGGAGTAACCCCTGAGCATTGTGGGGTATGGCCCCCAAACCAATAAATAAATAAAAACTCAATAGATGCTCTGCGCAGCAGAATAACAGCTACTGTTATTCTGAGGAAAAGGCATATGTATTCTGAGATAGAGGAAACTTCTAGATAATGACAGAAGGTGGAAAATACGTCTGAAAAGAAAACAGCATATCAGAGAACTATGGGATGAGTTCAAGAGAACAATATAAGAATCACTGGAGTCCCTGTAGAACAGGAAGGCAAATTCTATGGAGAATCAATAGTTAAAGAAATCAGTGATAAGAATTATCCTGAGTTGAGAAATGCAGGTACTAAGATCCAAAGGCCCAAAGGGTTCCAGCAAAGAGACTCAAACAGGAAAACCCAACGACGCATTATGCTCAGAATGACAAAAATCCATAGATAGAACACTGAGAGCAGCAAGATGAAAAATAAAAAGAAACTTACATACAAAGGAAAGACCATAGGATTCACAGCAGATCAAAGGAGACTCTAATAAGCCAGGGGAGGAAAAGGTACAAAATCGCAATGAAATGAACACATCACTAATAATACAGATTATCATGCAGATTTAATGGAACAATACAGAGTTTCAGGGACAGGCAACAGTTTAGGGAATTCATTGCTTTGAAACCAGTCTCACAAGAAGCATTAAAGGAGCTTCTTTTATTTTTTTTTAAATTTTACTTTTATAAAGTACTTCACAAAATTTGATTCCATTTGATGTACTCTGCCAGCCCTCCCCACCCCAGGGGATCCAGCCCTGGCAGCCGACCTCCACTATCCAACCACCGCCACATTCCAGGCTGCTTTCCAGATGCTCAGGCCGAGCCTCACTCATGAATGAAGATCCACGGAACCCAGATAATGCGGAACTCTGTGATCTTGGACTCTTGACTCAACAGGACCCTAGAAGAGAGATCCCCTGCCTGCTTCCCCCAGTCTCCAGTGACTCAGGGTTCACACCCCATAAGCCACACCCTCCCAGCACCAGATAATCTCATCGGTCACCCTCCAGAACTCACGAATGCTCCTCCCAGACGGGAGTATAAAATGAGGCTCCCAGAACCATGCCACCGGACACTGCGTCAGGCTGTGGGGTGGGTGAGAGCCCTCCCCACCCCAAGGGACCCAGCCCTGGAGGCCAACCTCCACTACCCATCCACCACAACGCTTCAGGCTACTTTTTGGACCCCACAGCTGCTCTGTGGCCCTGCGACCCATTATAAGACACTTCCTACCCATTTCCCATAATTACTATAAACATATCTGATGGGATTCAGACAACAGGCAGCAAATTATAGAGAGAAATATATAAATATATGCCTCTTGGAGAGCCCGGCAAGCTATCGAGAGTATCCTGCCCACACGGGAAGAGCCTAGCAAGCTTTCTGTGGTGTATTCGATATGCCAAATACGGTAATGACAACAGTTCTCATTCCCCTGACCCTGAAAGAGCCTCCAATCATTGGGAAAAGACGAGTCAGAAGAGGCTTCTAAAATCTCAGGGTTGGGATGAATAGAGGTGCTACTGGCACCTACTCGAGTAAATTGATGATCAATGGGATGACAGTGATATTCAAACACCAGTCCCACCACCATTATACCTTCCCACCACCATATTTCAGATGTTTCTATCCCAAATCCCAACCCCCGCCCCAAAGCAGAACTGAAATAATTTATTTTGTATTGCTTGTCACGAATAAACCGCTGAAAATGAGGAGCTTCTTTCAAAAGCAAGACAAACCTCAGGAGCACTTGGCACTGAGTGTAACATTCACTCATGGTGCTTATGGTTGCCCTCTACTAGATTAAGAGAGATTTGTTTATTCCTGTCCTGCTAAGGAATCTTATACCTTTGCAATAACTAACATTTCACTAATATTGAATGTTATAGATCTGATCAGGTATATACTTATCTTTGCATCCATAGAGATCTTTACTACAGTCCTTTTTTTAATTAATGCAGACACATAGCAGTACCAATAATTAAAATTTTCTAATATAAAGCCAATATTCCCTTTCTTACAACAAAACTTTCGTACTTCTATATACATATTCAAGTTCTCCCCTTATATTTTCTTTAACTCTCTTCACTCTAACTAAATTGTACATTTGTAGAATTTCTCTCTTTCATCTCAAAATGGATCAGCAAAGTTATTCATATTTTTAAAATTTATGTATCTTTAAGTTTTTGAATTTTTTTTTACTTTAGCAATTTATCCTTGATGTATAATTTTGTGGAATTCCAGGAGATTAGTTCTATTCACTTATGTGTGTAGGTGTCACCACCTCCACAATTTAAAAAAAGAGAGCGAGAGAGAATTATCTATCCCAAATAGGATATAAAAAAGAAAGACAGTAAGGGAACAAACAGTCAAATTCATCAGAACTGAAGATTTTATAAACAGTACTGAGCTTCCACTTGGTGGGAGGATGGGATGGGAGGGGTCCTTGGAACACTGGTGGAGGGAAGAGGACTCTCAGCTGATGTGTGGGCTTGGAATGATGTGTCCGTGAAAGATACAAATAATAGTACTGTGAACCCATGTACCTCAATTAAAATGGTTTTAAAAAATAAAATAAAATGATAGATGCTAACCAGCTATGAGCTCAATTATCAATCAGCATGCAGTTATAGAACAAAGGGAGCTTATTCAAATACTTTAAAATACCATAAATAATTTCTGTGGAACCTTGATGAGAAGGAAATTCTAAACCTATCCTACAGCCTTAAACATAATCAGGCTCCAGTAACTAAACTACATAACTATAGATTTTTATTTCAAAATCAGGACTAGAGGTCCAGTAACTCAAAGGGCTGGAATACATGTTTTGTATGCAGAAGGCTGGGGTTCAATCTCTGTTACTACATGATTCCACTATGACCCCATCTATAGTCCCCATGCATGACTGGGAATAGCTCTAAACTCAGACGGCTGTTACCACTCCACCACCCCCCTCCAAAAAAACCCAGACTGAACATTACAAAACCAGTAAGTATGGAAAATGCAAAATACTGTCTACGTACTCATCAACTTTGGCATAAATTATCTTTTAAAAAAATTAGATTACAAGGTGAGAGAGAGAGAGAGAGAGAGAGAGAGAGAGAGAGAGAGAGCACAGAGTAAAGTGCTTGCCTTGCACACAGCTGACCCCAGTTCAATCCCCAGCACTGTATATGGTCTCGAGCAATGCCAAAAATAGGAGCAAGCCCTGAGAACAACTAAGGTTTGTCCCAAAACAAAAATAATAAAAAATTTAAAAAGCTAGAACACAGACTAAATATTCAACATATAAACAGTATCCGTATGTGCTCCTTGATTAAAATTCACTAGAGCTAAAAATCTAAAAATAAAAATTTAGTTTGGCCAATTTTAGCAATTTGAGTTTATATCTGAAAATAACAGTAGAAAAACAAGGGTAATCATATCTTACCATCCAGTTCATTCTGAATTCTATTTCTTTCTCTTTCTAGCTCACTTTTAGCTCTTGCTGCCTCCAGTTTGATGTCTGTTATTTCTAATTTGTTTGAGTGCTTAAGTTCTTTTACCTGTTGATAACCAGAAGTAAAATTACTATTGGTCATTTTTTGGACATTAAATGATTTCCGAAAACATTAATAAGTACGATTTAAAAAAAAAATCTTGGTATCTACACAGAGTATAAGCAACTTACCTCCCAGATGTTTGCACCCTTTGAGCAATATCTTGGTGCAGTCCCTAGAATAGTACTTTATACCAAGGAAACAGTCTTTTTTTTTTTTATAATTTATTTATTTATTGAATCATTGTGGGAAAAGTTACAGAGCTTTCGGGTTTAGGTCTCAGTCATGTAGATACCGAACACATTTCCCTTTACCAATACTCATTTTTAACCCCGAACCCCAATAGACCCCCACCTCCCACCCCTCCCAATTCTTGTGAGGCAGATGAGTTCTAGTTAATACTCTATCTACTTTGACTAGATAGATTATTTCGATAGAAGATGCACAATTATTGTTTAGAGTTTACGACCCACCCCCCCCCCCCCCAATCAGACATGCTGAAACAGCGTTGTGAAATGATTTGCTTTCTACAACTTGGTTTAAGAATAAAATGATGTCGCGCGGCCGCGATAGCGGCCGCGCGGTTTTGAGTTTCTGCTATTTTACTTATTGACCCTGGAAGAATTTCTATTAAAAGTTAGCTAGTTAAGAGATTGGTTTCTGTGCCCTGGAGTCGTGGCCGTGCCGGAGAGCCGCTCGTGGGGGGCAGCTGGCGACCTTGGTGGGGCGTGGGGGACGGCCCACAAAGCCCCCCTTCCCATGAGGTCCCCGCCGCTCCCCCGAGCCCGGCTCAAACCTGCTTTCCACAAGGCTCCCGTGCGGCCGCCATCTTTCTTTCCAGAGAGGAGCGGGCGGGCTGGTCAACGCCCTTCCCCCTCCGGGCAGGCTTGGTGGCGCGGATCAACACAAGTCCATTTGCTTTTCTGCTCCAAGCGGCTGGTTCTCTGTGCTAAGTCCTTGTGCCTCCGGGGCCGTGGCCGTGCCGGAGAGCCGCTCGTGGGGGGCAGCTGGCGACCTCGGTGGGGCGTGGGGGACGGCCCACAAAGCCCCCCTTCCCATGAGGTCCCCGCCGCTCCCCCGAGCCCGGCTCAAACCTGCTTTCCACAAGGCTCCCGTGCGGCCGCCATCTTTCTTTCCAGAGAGGAGCGGGCGGGCTGGTCAACGCCCTTCCCCCTCCGGGCAGGCTTGGTGGCGCGGATCAACACAAGTCCATTTGCTTTTCTGCTCCAAGCGGCTGGTTCTCTGTGCTAAGTCCTTGTGCCTCCGGGGCCGTGGCCGTGCCGGAGAGCCGCTCGTGGGGGGCAGCTGGCGACCTCGGTGGGGCGTGGGGGACGGCCCACAAAGCCCCCCTTCCCATGAGGTCCCCGCCGCTCCCCCGAGCCCGGCTCAAACCTGCTTTCCACAAGGCTCCCGTGCGGCCGCCATCTTTCTTTCCAGAGAGGAGCGGGCGGGCTGGTCAACGCCCTTCCCCCTCCGGGCAGGCTTGGTGGCGCGGATCAACACAAGTCCATTTGCTTTTCTGCTCCAAGCGGCTGGTTCTCTGTGCTAAGTCCTTGTGCCTCCGGGGCCGTGGCCGTGCCGGAGAGCCGCTCGTGGGGGGCAGCTGGCGACCTCGGTGGGGCGTGGGGGACGGCCCACAAAGCCCCCCTTCCCATGAGGTCCCCGCCGCTCCCCCGAGCCCGGCTCAAACCTGCTTTCCACAAGGCTCCCGTGCGGCCGCCATCTTTCTTTCCAGAGAGGAGCGGGCGGGCTGGTCAACGCCCTTCCCCCTCCGGGCAGGCTTGGTGGCGCGGATCAACACAAGTCCATTTGCTTTTCTGCTCCAAGCGGCTGGTTCTCTGTGCTAAGTCCTTGTGCCTCCGGGGCCGTGGCCGTGCCGGAGAGCCGCTCGTGGGGGGCAGCTGGCGACCTCGGTGGGGCGTGGGGGACGGCCCACAAAGCCCCCCTTCCCATGAGGTCCCCGCCGCTCCCCCGAGCCCGGCTCAAACCTGCTTTCCACAAGGCTCCCGTGCGGCCGCCATCTTTCTTTCCAGAGAGGAGCGGGCGGGCTGGTCAACGCCCTTCCCCCTCCGGGCAGGCTTGGTGGCGCGGATCAACACAAGTCCATTTGCTTTTCTGCTCCAAGCGGCTGGTTCTCTGTGCTAAGTCCTTGTGCCTCCGGGGCCGTGGCCGTGCCGGAGAGCCGCTCGTGGGGGGCAGCTGGCGACCTCGGTGGGGCGTGGGGGACGGCCCACAAAGCCCCCCTTCCCATGAGGTCCCCGCCGCTCCCCCGAGCCCGGCTCAAACCTGCTTTCCACAAGGCTCCCGTGCGGCCGCCATCTTTCTTTCCAGAGAGGAGCGGGCGGGCTGGTCAACGCCCTTCCCCCTCCGGGCAGGCTTGGTGGCGCGGATCAACACAAGTCCATTTGCTTTTCTGCTCCAAGCGGCTGGTTCTCTGTGCTAAGTCCTTGTGCCTCCGGGGCCGTGGCCGTGCCGGAGAGCCGCTCGTGGGGGGCAGCTGGCGACCTCGGTGGGGCGTGGGGGACGGCCCACAAAGCCCCCCTTCCCATGAGGTCCCCGCCGCTCCCCCGAGCCCGGCTCAAACCTGCTTTCCACAAGGCTCCCGTGCGGCCGCCATCTTTTCAAGGAAACAGTCTTTTCCATATAAAATTAAGACATTTCCTTACAAATAGAATTTAAAATCAATTTAAGTTCTTGATTACAAGAACTTAGAAAATGAATAAAATATCTCAAGCAGAAAAAATGAAAGCTTCCTTTACAAAACAAAAAGTGTTAGAAATAAGAAGACATGTATATAACAAATTGTGTATAAACAAATTGTGTCTGGGGCTCGTGTGACAGTAGAAGAGGTTGGGTGCTCTCCTCACATGCTGTCAAACCAGATTCAATCCCCCACACCCTTTATGGTCCCCCACGTACTCTGTGAGTAATCCCTGAGTGAAGAGGCAGGAGTAAGCAAGTAAAAAAGCAAAAAACATTAAGAAATGTGTCTGACATATCATATTGGCATAATGTCAGAAGGTCTGCTCAGAAAACAGTACTGTTATAAGATATAACAGATAGAAATCTGGGGATTAACAGGGAATTAACTTCATATACCATACAAAAGGATTATTGATCCTGTTACCTATTCTGTTTTGTTTTGGGACCACATCCAGCAATGCTCAGGGGTTATTCCTGGTTTTGCATTCAGGAATCATTTCTGGAAGTGCTCAGGGATTGAACCCAGGCCAGCTGTGAGCAAGGTAACTATTGAAGGTAGCACTATGACCATTAACAGAAAGTGAACTTGAACTGCAAATATTAAGAAACTAGAGGTGAAAAAAAAACAAATTAAAACAGGCAACAGCCTAACAAAGGGGCCAAAGGGAAGAATCAATTGAATTTCATGATTAAATAATAATGTCTATATGTGTGCATACACATTACTATTATAAATGGACATATTAAACCTTCATTACCAAGACCTAACTCCTGAGAGAGGTAAATGATTCTCAAAACTTTCCATGCTGATTAAGCAGTCACATAGCAATTTTTACTCTTCTCTGAGACATCCTTTTGAGAACCGAATTCCAGTTCTTAAGGAGTATTCAATAAATATTTATTGAACACTATTTATGTGCTATGTACTATTTTAGTCCAATGCACTATCCATTGTGCTGAAATGATAGCACTGCGGTAGGGCATCTGCCTTGCATGCGGCCGACCCGGGTTCCATTCCTCCGTCCCTCTCAGAGAGCCTGGCAAGCTATTGAGAGTATCTCGCTTGCATGGCAAAGCCTGACAAGCTACTCCTGATGTATTCGATATGCCAAACACAGTAACAACAAGTCTCACAATGGAGACGTTACTAGGCCCGCTCAAGCAAATCAATGAACAACGGGAGGGCAGTGACAGTGACAGTACTATTTTAGGAGCTAGAGACACTGCAGCAAACAAGAATGCTTTTTCTCTAGTTTTTAACCCCAAAGTTTCTCATCTTTTCCCCATTGTGGTTTTCTTTTTCCTATGGCTCCTCTACAGTCCTTCTGGTTGACTTGCTAGTCTTGCACTGTGCATTTACAACGCTTAAAGTGTGGCTCCCTTTAAGTATCATGGAGGCTCACAAGGGGGTCATATGGTCCTTAGCTGAAATGTACACTATAGATCTACATTATACTCAACAACATTAAATGAAGTCCCTTTCGTAAGGCTCTTCTAAAATTAAGTACAATGCTACACTGAGGATTTAACTAATACAAATTATGAAACAATTTGCATTCTTACACATTATATCAACGTTTTAACTATAAAACCAGAAGAGAAAAATGCAAATATATGCAACTCAAATATTTAAAATATTAGGTAAGGTAAAGGCCCTCCCGTTGTTCATCGATTTGCTCGAGCGGGCCCAGTAACATCTCCATTGGAGGTTTTGTTGTTACTGTGTTTGGCATATCGAATACATCACGGGTGGATACTCTCGGTAGCTTGCCAGGCTCTCCAAGAGGGGCGGAGGAATCGAACTCGGATCGGCCATGTTGGCTGCGTGCAAGGCAAATACCCTACCGTTGTGCTATCGCTCCAGCCCTATTTATTATGATAGAATAATATACAATATAGGATACAAAGGATAATAATACATAGGATAATACAAAGGAATACATAATTGGGTTCAGTAAAATCCTACAAAGTTGGGGTTAAGATTTAGAAGATCTTAGAATTACTGGGACAAGGACAAGAAACAGAAGTGTCTTATTGAAAGAGCCTCTATCTATGAAAACTCTTAAAAATGCTGCAAAATATGGCACAAAATCCTAATGAAACAGAAAAACAAGTATTGCATTTCCCTTAGTACTGCAAACCATATCAAGTTGCAACCTTCCAAATTAAAATAGGTTTTTTAAATAACAGTCTATAAAATATATGTGGTACGAGGATCACTTTTACATTTTTAAATCTCTTTTCTGAAGGTCTTTCCGATGAAAGACTGATAAAAATATTTAACTACACTACATAAAAGCAGC